TCACTGACGGCAGTAACCCTGCTTTTCCCTGCCTGCCAACACAATCATCTAAGGTGCAACCGCAGGACTTGGGCATCATTTGCGCATTCAAGAGTTATAGGCGCTGCGCTGTGGAGCGCTTGCTCATAGCTGTTGACCGCCCAGCAGCCAACCTGCCCCTTCGGGTGACCTTGTACTCAGCTTTGTAGGTGCCGAAGGCTTCGTAGACTGAGGTGATGGCTACATGCGTGCAAAACTGTTTCGGCAAGGTGGCTTCATCCACGCCGGACCCAATGCTTAGCCTGAAGCCCTCGAAGAGGGCCGATCCGCCGGTTTGGGGCAGCGCGTTGCCGACTCCGACTTGCGAGAGCAGGGCATTGCTGGGATGACTTCATTACAGCCGATGATGATGCTGACACTGCGGAGCCATGCACAGATGATGGCATAGTGAATGAAGTGCGCGGCAAGAGCGATGCGGAGGAATCAGATGACGACGACGAAACTTTGGAGTCAACGTCCACTAGCGTGCCTGTAGCGATTGGCTTCATGGAGAGCCTCAGGCAGCTTGTATATTGGCCAAGGGCCTCAGCGAAGAACACGCTGCCACATTAAGTAAACTCGAGATGGTACTTATCACATCTGCGCTGTCGAAACAGATGTGCATTACAAACTTTTTTACACAAAAAAATAAATTTTTGGTTTTCACTTGCAACTTTTTAAAAGCGGTGTTTCATTTACAATGTACTTCAGGATATAGCGAACTGATGCCGCGTCACGCTCAGGTTCGTTATAAGCGGGCTCGACTGTATTCGAACTCACGTAATTCCACAGCCAAATTGCGTCGTGTGTGCTGAAACTAAGTCGTTCAACTAAACTCTCGAGCCATGATTGAGAGCAATGTGGTGAAAGCTTCGGAAGGACATGTGCAGCCATCCAAACCACCGTCACTTTTGACACGATCATGTATGGCAACGACTGAAACTGACAGAACCCATTGCTTTGACGCTCACCCAGTCAAAGCGACGCTTATTTTTGCAAATGCTGCAGACAAAATCGCAACAGAAGCAATTGTACATAGCAACGAACGACTTAGTGTTGAAGGCACGTGCGCGGCCAGCGCAAGCGAAATTAGAATGAGACTATCACTTACTGCAAGCACTGTGAAGGAAACATGCGGTCACTGTGGCTTGATCATTGATAGTGACTACGATCTCCAAAGGTACGCAGCTAATGCAGCCCTAATTAAAGGCTATAAAGGCATAAAAAGAAAGGCACGTCGTGTTTCGGTGTTCATGTCGATCTTCGTTTATGACAACGGTGAAGCGAATTGAGCACTTTCCCGTTGGCCCCAAGGGAAACTGGGACGCTCAGTTTCATGGCAGCCAGCTGCGCAGTCGGTTAGTGTGTGTCTCACAAGAACGTACGCGAGTTCTTTTGACAGAACGAAACGTTTTGTGCATATAACGTGGTTTGAAAACCGCTTTCGCTAGTTTCTTAGGACCTTGCTTGGCAAGCTTTTTATGCTCGCGCTTTGTCCAGTGACAGCAGCAAACACAAGGGTGCAACAGCTGCGCCATTTGCGCTATTGTGCACTTGCTCATCTGTGCCATCTTGCGCCGAACCACCCCTGCTGTGCCAAGTTCGCCTATCAGCACCGTACTGCGCCGCAGCACCAGAATGTAGCTACAAAGCGCGAAAGCCATCAAGCGCCGTGCTTGGAAATATGGCTGAAACATCGCCTTGTTGGTTTCACTGACACCACTCGCCGAAATGTCTGTAGTTTTGGTTTCGTGAAGGCTGTGATCGCTTCACGAGCAGCCGTGAACATTTATCGTAAGGGTGTGGTCGTGATGGCTATGCGTTCGCTATCACACCAGGCATCACCGTAAATAGCTTATGAACTCTTCTACGTGCTGCGCTCTCAATGCGAAGGGACTGCGAGAAGAGCATCTCTCTTTGGCAAGGCTGTATTCTCTTAAATCAGCGTTTTGTAGAATTACGTGATATCGGATATAAAAGAGTTGGCTGCCAGCCTTACAATTTGTTGCTATCACGTGCATTGCTTCACCATACAGTGAAGCTGCTTTTATATCATGATGGCACCGTTTCGAAAAGGAATAAAGGATGGCAGTAACAGTGCTCAGAAAAAAGGGGAGGGGGGGTCCGGTTCCCAGAACAGCACAGCAGAGACAGGTACAGATGATTGCTTATCGAGTGTATGTGCGTATTGTCGTTCATTTGGCTGTTGTGCTTGGACTCTGTGGTTGACGCTCACACGTTTAGGGAAAAAAACGTCAGCAGATCTAGATAACTAATCAAAAGTCACTGCTGCACCGCAAGGGTGAAACAATAAATGCAATAGCAGCAAATTGTAATGTTATATGAAGTTAGGCTGGCAGCTAACTCTTTCAGATCTCATCTCGCGTAACTGTATAAGAATAGGGTCACTTTAAGAAGAGCAACACTTTTCGCGCAGTCTCTTCGCGATGAGAGTGTAGCACGTAGAAGTGTATGAAAGTTGCCCGCTGATGGTCAACGAGCTAGCGTGCACACCAGGGATCGCGACCAGGCCATTAGAAGCAAAGTTCATAGTTGTTGCTCGAGCGACTCCTGCCCCCGCTCCCTCATTTTCTTCGTGACTTTACAAGACAGGCAGGCTTACTGGAATCAGGAAGGGGGAGTATTGGCTGTTATTACGTGCGCTCTGAGCGGCGGAGATGGGTCAGATCGTTTGAACCCTGCTTGAAATGTTTTTTTCACACCCGCTCCGGCACTTCTATTCGCGGATATAGAACATACAATGTGCGGAGGTATGTTATTAATACGGAATTTAAACAACACACGTCAGCGACGGCAACAGCCCGTCGGTAGTGTCCATATCATTCCTTTCACAATAATGGGGCTATTGCAAACTTTAGCTGAGTGTTTGAAAAATGCAGCATTAAACAAATGTTGCTTCACAATTGCTTTGAAAGTGGCTAAATTTGTTCTGAATATTTTTGCTGCTCTAAATTTGCTTGAAAGGGCCCTTTTGACTGCTTCAAACCTGCTCCAAAATGTCTTTCTGGCTGCTCCAAGCCTGGTACAAAAGCACTTTTGTCTGCTCCAAGGACTGTTCCCAAACCCATGTACCCTGTACGACCCCCGCGTATGGCATCTACACCAGTTTTGCCAATGTACGTTTCTCTGATCGCCGCTCAAGGCGCCCTCTTTGGTGATTCCAGCGCACTGCAGCCCAAGGCGTCGTCGGTTTTTATTGGCCCGTGCGCTCGCCTTCTTGTGACTATGACTACGTCTACTTCATTCTCGTCACTTTGTAGGCATGGCAGCACGTGACAAGTTCCTACGATGAGGGTTATGCATGGGTACTGGCATCCTCCCAGGCCCCCTCACCTGCCTGCTCTCAACCCCGTTGAAGTACGCCCGGTAGCTCACCTCTGCCATTCATGACCGTTCGGCATTTCACTCACGGCAGCGGCCAGTATGGCATAAAGGGGCAGGTGTTTAGCACGCCTGGCAATGCTCTCTTTTACGTACACATCATGCACCAGCTCGTTAACTAGCTTTCCCACAGAAATGGTCTCGCAAAGAAACACTACATAGTGTTGACTTTATAATTTACGGAACTTCGGGCGATAAGGATATTTTCCAATCCCGCCTGAAATTTGTACACATTGCCAAGATTCTACTGTTGTTTGGACACTCCGCCTGCATTGTTTATAAGTCATGATGAGACAGTAACGCCATTGTTTACGCTTATGGGGCTATTCAGAATCCCCCCCTCCCCTTTCCGCGATATGTGTGTGCATGCTTGTGTGGAAAAAGGTGCTGAGGGCGGCAAGACATGACCACCATCACCCACCCCTGGTTGCTAAATTTCCCGGATTCTGAATTCTTGAACTTGACAGGTATGCCATTTGAGGATGTAAAGGATGCCAACTCCTGAACAGCTGCATATGTCACAGACCGATGCAAAGCATTGTTGCAATCAGAGCTTTAAGTGAAGACCCTGTCATTTTTGGACTCGAAAGCTTGTCGTCACTCAATTCAGGGGTGGTATTTCGAATGGTATTTCGAATGGCATGCGTTGCTCCCAGCCCAGATGCTCATTCATGGGCACATGACGACAACACTGTAGATGCGACATTAGGCGCGGCCCTGTGTCTTATATGTCAATAAAAGAGAACCCAAAATTTTGGAAACTGGCTGAAAAGGCCTGTTCCCACACATTGTACATGTGGCAAAGCTTCAGGAATTATTTTTAATAAATTAATCTTAAATAACAGACATTAATTTCAGGCAATTATTACTGCTCAACACTGTCAGATTGTGAAGTTGATATTATACTTTGATATTTGATTTTAAAAAGTTTTTTTAATTACAGAACTTTGATGTTACTGAAGCATAGCAATGAGTGGCACGCATTTCTCTTAAGTGCATCAGCCAAGTGCATTTTTTCTACAAAACATGCAGATTGGTTCGCGAAAAGGTCTGCATTTTTTATACAAACACATGCAGATGGTTCGCGAAAAGGTCTGACAAAATCACTCTGCTTGCCGAAACTCCCAAATTCAAACCGATTCTGAATGTTCAAGGCTGGACTAACTGCTAGGAAGTTCTTAGTGCACGAGGAACAAAGAAAACATGCCAGACACGTCGATACCAAAGCATCAATCACCGGTGGTCGATTTGAAATAGGAATAGCAATCAGTGGTGTACACTGGTTCCTCAAGCTCTACTTTTGGGAATGAACAATGCTTTGCATCAGATGAACAAGCCAAACAGTAACCTTAGGTAACTGTAAATAAATTGCTCCTCTGTCATTTTAGGCTTATTTGTGAAGACTAAAACTGCTAGTTTTACAAGCTTCAAATCTAGATTTGCTCAGTTTGGAATGATTTAAAATGTTTGGTTTTTGACAGTGGAGTCATAGCTAATAAACTGAACCAGAGGAATAGTTGCACACAGCAAGCCTCGAGATTAATATGCCATTGGTGAAGAGGTTGACCGTGTCTTTGTAGGGGGACACCATGCAACGCACAAGGGACCAGATAACCTACCTCTGCATCGTCCTTGAGGACCTCAAGAGGAGGAAAGAAAAGGGTGAGTTTCCTCCTTGGCAATTGTCGACAAAACGATTGCTGATGTTACAAGAAAGGTAGTATACAAATGCTGACTCATTGGAGAAAGAAATAACGCAGAAACACATGTGAACATACGGCCACTCGGATAGTGAACGCACAGGAACCATGCCATGCCTCAGTCACTCTTTCTCATTTATTCTCTTATCCATTGCCTTGGTTATCTGTATGAGACAGAAAATGTTAACAAACATTGAGTTAAGCTCAGATTGATTGATATGTGGGGTTTAACATCCCAAAACCACCATATGATTATTAGAGACGTCGTAGTGGAGAACTCCGGAAATTTCGCATTCCTGGGGTTCTTTAATGTGCACCCAAATCTGAGCACACTGGCCTACAGCAATTTCGCCTCCATCGAAAATGCAGCGGCTCCAGCCGGGATTCGATCCCACGACCTGCGGGTCAGCAGCCAAGTACCTTAGCCACTAGACCACCACCGCGGGGCGTAGGTTAAGCTCAGAAAAGAGGTCATGTACTTACACTGGTGCTACTTACAGTAGTGAATTCTTTCCCTTCACACAGCCAACTACTACAGAGGAACCTGTTACAGAGGAACCTACAGAGGAACTACTACAGAGGAACCTACAGAGTGCCTGAGATTATACGCCAGTCACACTGGAGGTGTTAATGTCGTTAGGTTCAAATGTAATTTAAAACAAGGAATGTCATTTAGTCCATGAAGGTGCTACTCAATAAAAAGTTATAGTCAGTCGTTCATGATATCGCTGTTGATAATTCAGAAAAAAAATGGCCAAAAAGTTGAGCAAGGTACATACAGAGTGATAAAAAAGGGAATTCATATTGAAATACATCTGGGAAGCTGCATAACTAAATAAATACGCATAGATATTGTATATCACAGAACATATGGCCACCATAAGCCAAAACGATCCTCTTAGCCAGTAGCCACAGTCGACAAAATGAACACAAGCACCACGACATGCACGGTGTGACGAGAGAGAGAGAGAGAAAGAAAAATGCGTTAAGAAATGTACCAGTTTGCCTACAGTAAAATATGAGTTGATGAGAAAATACATATGTTGTACCCTGCTTATAAGAGACAAATATATAAAAGACAAGAATTGCTGCCTGGAGCCTGCCTGTAATCAATCTGAAAAGCTGTGTGCTAAACTGTTGCCTTTTTTATACTGTTCTTGGAGCAAGAACAAGCGTGCAAAAGCGGCCACGTAGCTTTCCTTAATAAACTTATCAACTGTGCTATATTCATTTCATGGAGAACTGATTAAGAAACAAATCTGTATGTAATTTTGCTGTTAGTTCAGCCCACTGCTCGAAAATGTGGTATTTCTTCTTTTTTTTAGTATTCAAGGCCAGCATGCTTGAAGCAAATAGTGAAATCAGTCGCTCTAAAGCAGTGCGGGACACAAAGTGGGACACAAGCTCAACACTTGCAAATAAAAAAACAAGAAACGTGGCGTAGAGCGAAAACTGAGACAGTTGCCAAACATAAACATCTTTTTCACCAGGCAGACAGTGTTTTCATCATAAGTAATTGCCATGTTTGGTCAGCTTGGCGCATCTATTTTGTAATAGACAACATACATATTACGAGTACGCTGCAGTTGACGCATTTTATTCGCCGAGAATTGGACTGCATGGCTCACAAAAAAATTTTCGCTGCATACATGTGTATGCACGCTGCTGGCCACCTATCCTCACTAGCGCAATCATGGTGCTGCCCCCTGTAGCCCGATCTCGGAGAGGGAATAGTGCCGTTTCTATAACTATTTTGTATTATGGCTTTGTTGGTGACCGGCAGGCGACCATTTTGTACGTTTTAGGGACGCAAAAGGGCCATCTTGGAAGTTTTGGAAGTATAATTTGTACTGTAGCTTGACGTCAAGCTGATGTCAATGTTGCTAGGTGCAGCACGGAAAAAATGACTTTAAATCAAAATAAAATATGAGCGTTTGCTGAGCTTCCCACTTGCCCGGAGCTGCCTCTTTATATGTGCAGGAGATATGTATGGCAGTCTGAGCTCACCTTTGAATAAATGTTTCAGCATCTCTTTAGAGGTCAATTCCCAGCGATTTTTTGAGATCAATGGATCTCAATGAAATTTGCTTGCTACGTTCTTTCGCGCCTTTCCACCATTTGTTCCCAGTTAGAGGCTGGAGAAATGCACTGAGTGTGATTCGGTAGAATGCAGGGGGTATCTGGTAAAATAAGTTACATTTTAAAGCTCACTATATCACAACATATAAGTCAGTAAACAAGTGTTCTAACTTGAACATTTATGAATTGATATGAGGGTAACATTGTGACTGGGTCACGATGTCGATGAAGGAAGCACACTTGATGTTCAGATCAAACTGTTTATTTTGCCGAACTTGTGGCCAGGAAAGCGAAGGTCAGATTACAGCAACGCACGGTCACTGATAGCGGCGAACAGAGCGTCGGTCGGCTATCAACTGCCAAGCTGCGAAATGTGGCAGCATTTAGTATACATGTGTCGCCAAATATTCCAGCCCTACCACTGGTCTTCATGCAAGCTCTGCAATAGTGGCGAGTGCTAGCGTCTAGCAGGCATTCTAAAAGAACGATATACAACGACTGCGAACTTTCTCAAACAATGATGCACAGTTTGCGCTGAGCATTCCTGACCCAGCATTTGTGAGCGAAAACCGAATCAAAGAAAAATAAAAATAATAATAAATGCACGCGGAATTTCATCCTCTCGAAAAAGCATCGTCCAGATCGATGCTTTTTCGAGAGAAATTGAGATGCTTTCGAGGTGCTTTTTCGAGAGACACAGAACATGGGCGAAAAATACATGAACACAAATAATAACAACAATGAAGAAAGCGCAATAACAAGCAGCAAAATATAGAGAAACAACAAATAGTACAGTTTGTAGGTTCGTTGAAATGGCTTGAAGCACATGGCGTGAACAGTTTCAGGCCTTGCATGGTGCTGTTGAGAGTTTGCGATGCTGTCGGGGACGGTTTCGTAGTTGAGTAGACTGAGACGTTGACCTACCCTGTACAATCTGAAGTATAGTGGAAAAGTCCACGTTGCCGCATCGATGTCCACACGAAAACACGGTCATGCGGTTGGTATTTCGGGAGGTGTCCTCGAAGATTGTGATGGCGGCTGTCGACTGTCTGTTGGTTCTCAATGCGGAGGTGGGCGAGTTGTCGTGTTTCTTGGAAGCACTGACGGTAGACAGTCACGTCGAGGTTTTTCTCGTCAGTGACGTTGGGCAGCATGGTGTCGAGCGTCGGGGACAGGTCCCTTCCGTAGAGCAACTTATATGGCGACATTTGCATCGTTTGTTGCGCCGCTGTGTTGTATGCGAAGGTCACGTAGGGAGAGATGGTGTCCCATCATCTTGTGTTCGACGTCAACGTACATGGCCAGCTTGTCGGCAATTGTCTTGTTTAGCCGGTTGGTGACACCCTTGGTCTGTGGGTGGTATGCTGTCACCGGCTGTGACTTGTCTGGCTGTGTGCCGAAATGGCCTGAGTTAAGTTTCATAGTGAAGGCCGCACCTCTGTTGGTAATGGTGACCTGTGGAGCTCCTTGATGCAGGATGATGTTCTCGACAAATAATTTTGCTACCTTGGCGGCACTTTTGTCTCTGTATAGTGGGTGATGTAGTCAGTAGCTATGACAATCCATTTGTTTCCGGAAGTCAACGTCAGCAATGGTCCCAGTAGGTCCATTCCAATTTGCTGGAATGGCCGGTGAGGTGGTTCAATGGGCTGCAGAAGTCCAGCTGGCCTAGCTGGCGGTGCCTTCCATTGCTGACAGTCTCGGTAGGTTTTCATGTAGTGTGTGACATCGGCAGTGAGGTGGGGCTAGTAATACTTTTCGTGTATCCTTGCTTGCACGCGGGAAAATCCATGGTGTCCAGCCATGGGGTTGTCATGCGAAGAATCCAGAATTTCTGGACGTAACACTCAAAGTATTACGATGAGCTAGTTGGTCGGATGTGGGAGAAGTTTTTCTTGATGAGGATGCCGTAACTCCTAGAAAAACAATGCCAGTCCTTGCTTGAATACCGTTGGAAACACGGCAGCCTTGCCCTTGAGGTATTCCACAAGGTCCTTGATTTCAGGGTCGGCTCGCTGTCGTTCTGTAAAGTCATCTATGCTTAAGCTTCCCAAGAAGCAGTCGTCGTCCTCATTGACTTGCGGCAGTGGGTCAACGGGGGCGCGGGATAGGCAGTCTTTGTCAGAGTGCCTTCGCCCCAACTTGTAAATGATGGTGATGTTGAATTCTTGAAGTTGGAGACTCCACTGTGCAAGGCAACCTGAAGGGTCCTTCAAGTTAGCTAGCCAACAGAGGGTGTGTTGGTCACTCACACCTTTGAAATGTCTGCTGAAGATGAAGGGCAAAACTTGTAGGTAGCCCAGATGATGGCAAGACACTCCTTTTCTGTTGTGGAATAGTTGACTTCCGCCTTAGATAGCAACCGGCTGATGACCCTTTCAGTCCGTCAATCTTCTGCTCCTGGACTGCTCCGAGCACTACACTGCTTTGCGGATGGCACAATGAGCATGCGTGTCCACATTGCCACGATGCAGCGGCACGGGCTCTTATCTCCCACGCGTACTTTGCCCCGCTGAGAGGAGGGAAGGGTCGCGCACCATGGGGAGGGTCATACGTCTTGGCTGGCTTTTGGGTTTCGTCAGAATGATTCTGTTGTAGTTACCGAACGCACAAAGGTCACTGCAATCATTACACAGTCTCCGTTTGTGAAAAGAGCACACTTTTCAGACACAGTGAAGTAACAACTGAGACCCTTATTCGCGTTCACCTGTACCTGTGAGTACATTTTTGTGTTATTTGTGCGTGAGAAACGCGGAGATTGTTTTGATCTGCTTGTCATTGTGCGCGTGATCTTCCAATTTGTTGCCATTCGCATTCTTGCTTCGCCTTTGCGGCAAAGTTGTGACGTTTTCTATAGTTGCGGCCTCGGTGAGAAATTCATTG